GGCCTTTTAGTGATAACATATAATCATCTCAAACAGTGTGTGCTGGAGAGCTAGGTTGTAAAGTTCTCCTCTTTCAGTACGTAACTTGATTAAGAAATACTGCTTTAGATACGCTCTGAAATAAAAACCTTGGTTTGCCTATCAGCATGAATCTTACGATAATGATAATGGCCTAAAAATACATTGCTGAGGTAAGTGTCGTTTTCCATTGAAAACTGGTTCGATTTTAGTCAAGATTTCAATGCATTTAGCTATACAATGGCGACATTGCATGCAAATACTTGTTTAAAGATGCAAATTGCGATATCGTGATAGATAGCAGAATAAAGGCGTCAGAAAAACTTTTATTCCCGCGTCTCTTAAGAAATTTTTGCTCTTAACAAGGTTGGGGATCATTGAAACCACTGTTATGTTATCCAATGAAACCAGCGTTATGTATGAAACCATTGAAAAACAAACTTACGGGAATGAAAACCGAAGAACGACGAGCGAGCCTTTTCCAGGCCGACTTTCTCGGACCATTCATCGCGACGTTTACTGTTCCCATGACAAGATGATGTTGAATTCCTTGAGAAGTTATACCCTTTCTTCGGGTTTTCGCACCACCATAGGAAAGCATATCTTCAACGGTTGAAAATCAAGCAACCAGTACGACAGCCTCTTTCAACCAATGCCACCATCTAAAATCACACTTCCCATGTACAGCTACTTGTTCCTTCAGCCAATTTGATGAACGATATCATATATTCCAGCACAGCAAAAATCACTTCATTAAACAAGATAACATTGCGCGAAAACAGCCACCCCTTTTAGCAGTACCATATGAAATTTACTTGAACATGGCGTGTTAATTCTCCGTCATATTTTCAGATGTTTTTCGTAAAGGTGATTTATTGCGAAAACAATACATCAAGTTAAGAAAAAGCAAACATGTTGCTTCTCAATTTCGAGCAAGTCATTGCTTAAAAACATGACCCCGAATCAATTCTTCTGAACTCTGTAAAAGTTGATTGCAAAACAAACAGATAAGTTGAAAACAACTGCTGGCCGACTATCGTTGCGACCACGTGGCTAGAATAGCGTAGAAACGACCATTTGTTCACTTCAAGCTACGTAACCTGCCTGCCAGTTCTGCTTATTAAAAAGCGTATGGTTATGGCAGCGACGCTCAGATAACCTGCAAATGCGATTTAACAAAAAATCAATTGTATTCATTAGAAACTTGTATCATGAACTCCATCAGCTGTTTCTCATGAGAATCTCATACTTTCTTCAAAAGCTTCAGTACTTTGAAGAACTCTTTTTCATAAATGTTTACAACCCGACATCGTGGGAGCTGAACTACGAGTAGACGAGAAGAAAAAATGGCGTACGGCTGAACATGAATCAATTTATGTCGAATGCTTTCGCCAGTACAAGCACTCTGTTGGCATTTTTATGACAAGAACAGCAACCACCTCAAGCGTCTTTAAATCAAGTACTTTCACCTGTAATTAGAAAATCATTTGAAAGCGAACGGGGGCTGCTTCGTTAATCTCAGTGATATTGCTATAACGTGAGGAAATCATCTACTGCCAATACGGGGGTGCACAGTAGAAGCCAATGCAGAACATCATACACAAGTCGCAAAACTTTCAAACAGGTCTCAAAGTTATGATGTTTCCGTGTAAGATTTGTGCACTTAATCCTATTTTGGAAATGACGGGGGAGGAATTGCTTTGTTGAAAGTAAAGCAATATAAGACTATATGAAGTGTTCAAACTGTAAGAGTGTATCGTATTTGCTGACAATATCACAAAAAGTATCTTCATTTGTAGAGTTTAATTGTTGTTCTAAGCCGTTTGGGATAATCAAACCATTCTTCATTCAAAAACTGCTTGAAGAATAACTATTATAATGCTAAAATCTTATTATTTCGTACTTTTCCATGCAATAATTTGTCAACCTTTTGGAAAATTGTTCGTTTGTTTCTAACAAAAAACATTTCTTGTACCTTACGAAAAAACAATATTCAAATCATAGATTGCTATTCTCTCATCACAACGTTTAATAACAGAACAAAATTAACTTATCAAAGTAAAAAAATATTGGATAGGTTCAAGGACGATACCCAGCTCGCGAAACATAATATTAGTATTATAATATTCATGCACAATTCATTATATCCTTTGTAAGATTAGTACCCCGATTTACCGATTCAAGTCTCGGGGGTACCTCCATCATTTCTGTGCTACACAAAGTTATTTTACAAGTTTATTGAAGAATTCATTTATTTAGATTTATTTAGACTTATTGAAGAAGGAATTTACTTGCAAAATATTCATAGCAAATGACAGAACCTAAGGAGATTATAAAGAGTGAGGTTCACAAATCTTCTATGCTTTTTCGTATAAGACTTGATCGTATATGAGGTTTTACATTAATTTGCATTTGATAATCCTTTTTGAAATTCAACTTCATGGTTGATTTAAGTTTTTAACATTTTGATGAAACCTGATCAAACAAAGTGCATCTCATCACCTTAAAGCCTGGTTTCCATATAGCCGTAAGGATGCCTGCGGCTGCCTGCGACTGCTTTCTGCCATCTTCCATCTTCCATCCCTACGGTATCGCCGGCAGAGAATTCTTTATGGAAACGCTTTCTAACGGTACCGCAGGCAGCTGTTTGAAGTGCCGTAAGACTGCCGGGAGAGCCGGGAGAAAGTTGAACTCGTTCAACTTTTCCCGGCTCTTACGGCAGCCTCCCGGTACCGCCGGCAGACAAATTACAAATGGAAACGCCTTGCCTGCGGCTGCCTGCGGCATTCTTTTGTTCAAACGGATCATGTGATGTGCAAGAACCAATTGAAACAGGGCTTTGTTGTTGAATTTTGCCCGCCAGTTTTTCCCGCTCAAACTTTACCTAGTTACCGGCATAGTTACCGATACCGCAGGCAATTGAAAACAGAACGTTTCCATTTGCCGACGCTACTGTAAGGGTGGAAGATGGAAGATGGCAGAAAGCAGTCGTAGGCAGTCGCAGGCAGCCTTACGGCTATATGGAAACCAGGCTTAAAGAGATCAACCTTTTGTTTGGGTATTTGATAAAAATGTTTATTTCTGAAGATATGTCATTCAGTCTTTGCTGCCTTTTAATTCTGCAACGAGCCAAAAATGTTGTACTTCGAAATTCGACAGAATTTAAATTGTTTATTAATTTCTCAGCTTATAGCAACATTATCCCTGATATCAAGTATTTGGGATTCACCTAGTCAGACACCTGTCACATCAAAAAAGACTCGCATCCTCACATCCAAAACATATACCTTTGAACGAACTAATCACAGAGAGTCAAAGTTATATTTACAAATAAGAAACTTCAAGAGGACCCATGATATCAATCTTTTTAGCTTCTTGGGTCTAAAGATTAAGCTTTGGAGAAGGTCAAGTGAACTTTAACTCTTGATGTGGACAATTTTACAATTCTTTGAATGCCGTTGGCAGATATCTAAAATAAGCTCCTAATAACCCATACCTCCAAGGGACCAATTAAATAGTTCGAGATAGCAAATGCTCGAATTATCGGAGGCATTTTTATATGAAAGTATTGGCCAAAGAAAAAGCTTATTATTTATTATATAGGTTATTGGTTGTTGGTAGGGTTCTAGGGGATTCGAGCTATCGGGAGTTTTCTGTGGTTTATCTTTAACGGGCGTTTTCTGCTAGGTGGGGCCCGTAAATGGTAAATGGGACTCATTGTTTATAAAAGCAAAGATTTTGTATTGCTCTTTGGTATGTATTGCTGCTGCTAGCGCTCCTTGGTACTAGTCCTTGAGCAATGCAACGAACCGCAAAGGGTCGGGCTGCTGCAAGTTTGCCTTAATCTACTAGGGACCGCAGAGAGAGGCTATAGTTGGTGATGGGCCTGAATTGTACAACCTATAACAAAAATATTGAAACCACATCCTTGTGTAATATCACAATGCTTCAAGTAATGCAAAACAAATTTGCTTTGTTGAGCTCTAAAGACACCTCATATATCTAGGACTTTCAAGACAAACCTCAAATATCTAGGAGTATTGAAGTTTCCAACTATAAAAAATGTAAACCACTTCACCTCAGTACTTTTTGTAAACTTCATGAAGCCACCTGTATCTTAAATTTGCAATCTTTGCAGAAATCAGTCTGTTCTACTTGAAGTTAGAAGCTACTGTCCGGCTAAGGATACACAGAGTTTATCCAAATAGGCCTACATTGTGTTTTCAATCGTTCAAAGACTGACGATCTTGCCTCCAAAATAACTAGCTGTACTATTCCTAGGGTTGCAGGCTAAAAAGGGATCCAGGAGCTCTAGCTTGGTTGAACTAAAATCGATTTGCATCGTATTTGAGAAAGATATAGTAATTCGAGACTTTTGGGTGTTATAGGATTGAAGAATCTTAAAGTGTTTCTTATGCTGCTTTGGCAAAGTTCTGGAGTAATTTTATGACCGTTGCGGTCAAAATTACTAGGGGTGCTGAGACACTAAAGCATGAATGTCTGGGAAAGTCAGAGAAGCTCAAACTAAGCCAAGGAAACTCAAAGAAATCCTGTTGACTTTGAAAATCAACAGCTGTGATTGACCGACATTAGTCAGAGCATGCGCAAAAAGGACGGTTCGAAAATACCAACAATTAAGGTAAAACTGTGACATTAATGCTAAGCAAGGGCCAACAATAGTTTTCTTAGAAACAAAACCACGTTAATTGTTAATATAGGTTTTGTATCATGATATAACACCAAACATTATACGATATAACACCAAACCATATACTATAAATTCATTTACAAGGTTTGATGGGAGTATAGACTGTCTCCAACCTTTGAAACACAGCCACTCCTAATTTG